CTCCACAGACAGTCAAGTTGACCTGAAGGGGAAAGTGAATTGTGGGAAGGGTCGTGTGCTGTGTGGGTAACTGGAGGGAGACTGTTATCTCCTCCAGGAGTCAGAGAGAGACGCGCGGTGGACTTGTCGGTCAAACCCTGTGTCTGGGAATAAGGCCCTGCTTTAAATGCCAGCATCACTGCTTACGAAATTTGGGGAGTAGCCTTACTAAATCTGTTTATCCATCAGTGAAGTTATTACATTACTGCTTTATAGCTTCATACACAAGATAACCACAGTGCATATAGTATTTTCAATAAGTTTTAACCATTACTTTGTACATTTGTAATTCTAGAGTAGCCAGTCTCATGACTGTGTGGTCAAGCTTAGTGTATGAATTGGGAATCTCTTGATCTCCCACCTGGAGAAAAGAGAATGAAGTCCCCTAACCCCCCACCCTCACCCCAATCCCACCCCATCACCACACCTGCCAAAATCAGCTGTAGCCACGAGGAGCCATAGGTGGTTATACAAGCTTCTGCTCTCCCTACTGCCGTCCAGTGCGTGGGTTACCTTTTAACTCCGCCTTTCCTGCTTTTTCTAAATAAACCATACAGTCCATAGGAAGAGCCTGGTAATCAGCGTACCAATGTGCTGTACAAGTTTAATGTACAAATATAAAAACTGCCTGTTCTGTTGCTGCCATAAATTCGGTTGGGTCTCAGTTTCATGCCTTCCACATTCATGTTTAGCCTACACATGCGTGTCGCTGATCCTCATTTTGTTTGCCTTCTGTACATCCAGCTCATGTGTTTCTTTCTTTTTTTGGGTGAACTTTTACATTTTTTAAATCATTTTATTGGGGACTCGTGCAACTCTTATCACAATCCATACATCCATCCACCGTGTCAAGCACATTTGTACATTTGTTGCCATCATCATTCTCAAAACATTTTCTTTCCACTTCAGCCCTTCGTATCAGCTCATTTTCCCCTTCCTCCCCCATCTTCCCTCTCTCCCTCCCTCCTTCATGAACCCTTGATAATTTATACTTTTTTTTTTTTTCATGTCTTACACTGACCGATGTCTCCCTTCACCCACTTTTCTGTTGTCCGTCCCCCTGGGAGAGGGGTTATAGGTGGATTGTTGTGACCGGTTCCCCCTTTCTCGCATGTTTCTTATCTGGTCCTATGTATACATACCCCTCTTTCAGATCGTGAAACTGGCTATTTATGGCATGCTGCCCAAAAACCTCCAGAGAAGAACTATGATGCAAAGACTGCACCTTTTCCCAGATGAGGTAAGTGCTGTTGGTCATCGGTGACAGTCCGTCTCCCAGAGGCCCCGTTAAATATGTCCTTGTGTCTCTAAGTCATTGCCATAGAATTATTTTCAATTGCTCGTAATTCAACTTCTGAAATCTAGTTTGAATTTTTTAAATGGATGAACTATAATTATAATTATAATTAATCGTTTGCGTCTTTATGAAAGGAGCTGTCACTAGGCTAAAACCCCAAAGCCTGGAATTTCTATTCCTTATTTTGATAATTACTTTTTTTGAACAGGGAGCCTTGAGCAGCTGCTCGCTGATTAAGGGGACTCATTAGTAGTTTCATCAACTACAAGGAAAGTGTGAATGAACGCAGCTTACGTTCTTATGTGACGAGTAGCAGAACTTCTTTGTGTCAAGAATTGCTGACTTAACTTTGGATTGTTGATTATTTTCCCTGATTTAATTTTAGCTGTAGAATACGTGTTCCTACTCCAAATGTATCCAGCTACGGAAAAGTTGGAAAAGATATCTTTATTAATTACTGTTCTATTGTTTTGAAGGCTTAATATTTCTTCTTAGGTAAAATATAATGCATCCCCAGGGCCTCTTAAATAAAAACGATTGGGCACACAATATAGAATTAGTCTGCCTGGATTTGAATCCCTACCCTACATTTGCTCCAGGACCCTGGTAGCATAGTAGTTACACATTGGGCTGCTAACCACAAGGTCTGCAGTTTGAAACCCCCAGCCACTCCTTGGGAAAAAAACAATGCTTTCAACTCCCAGACGCTCACAGGGACTGTTCTACCTGCACTATAGGGCTGCTATGAATTGGCATCGACTCAGTGGCAGTGAGCTGAGTTGAGTTGATGGCCATGGGCGTTTCTCCGAATATCTTCTTCCTCATCTGTGAAATGGACATGCAGCCATGGGTCCTCACTCTGTCCTTAGAGAATCTCTGCTGTACTCCCCAAAACTGGCAAATGCACCCTTTACTGTTCTAGAAGGTTCATAGGGTTGATGAGATCATATAGAGTGCTTCTAACAGGGTTAGACAATAAGTGCTTATTGTCTATAGAGTGCTTATGGCAGGGTTGGATAGTAAATGTTAGCTGCTATAGTTCCCCTGATTTTTGAGTGAACCCCAGGGCTCTCTGAAAACTTAGCAGTAAGGACATTGGTTTGGCTGGGGAGATGCAATCCTGAGTGATTTTCTTTTTTTTACTTGAAGTCCTTTGGAGGTTGTAACCTTTTTATTTGCCCTTATATACTGCGCACCCAGCTCGATTGGTGGTGCTTAGAAGGAACAACATAAGTGTTTATTGAGTAAATGACTCAAAATCTAGGAGGTTTTCACTTTCAGAAAGTTTTTCTCGTAACAGCCTGAAATACAGGTGGAAAGGTGTTGGTCCTGAAGCAGTCGCGCCCGTGCATGCGCTCGTCCAGGTGAAAAGCCATGAGCGTGGCCCAGGGGGTGCCCTTTTGACGCTGACTCACTGAAAGAGGCACACAAGGAAGCTAAATTCGTGTGTTGGCTGTTGATGCAGGAGATTCCAGATGATATTCTGAGAAATATAGTAGAAGAGCTTCCTCAACCCCGAAGAGTGCCCAGACGTCTAGATGAATACACACAAGAAGAGATAGACGCTTTCCCAAGAGTGTGGTCTCCGTAAGTTTTCCTGGCTCCTTCTTCCTGTGTGGGGGTGGGGGTGGGGTTATGCTGAATTTGGTATCACCTGGATACTCAACCATGTCATCAGGTTCTTGATGTGGGGAAAGTGTACTCCCTCCTCCCTCCACCTTGGAAACTTTGCAGCCCCTCCCTGAAAATGCTCAATTTTAAGATTTTGAAAACCTGTAAGTTAAAGACAGTGCTAAGTGAGTATAATGCCATCCCTAGATGCCTACAGTTATCAGACATCTCGTGTGGACTGGCTGCACCTAGGCTGTCTAAAGACTTGCAATGATAAATGAATTGGCATTGATCTAAACCTAAGTGACTCACCTTTTTCCAGAGTGGGTTTTTTACCATATTCTAAAAACTCCTTCTCTTTGGATGCTTGTAGTCTTGATGCAAATAGAGAAACGAATAGGCGGGGTGATTTCTGTCTGGCACACCACTTCTTCTTCCTCAGGTCCATGAAGTGGACTGGATTGCCCATGCTGTCTCCCGTCTAAATTTGCCCAGGCTTCTTTGAAAGGCCTCTTGGCAAAGCTCATGTGATTTCGGGCTGCCCTAACTTACATCTTCAGCCTAGTGACTTCCCACTCCCTGTTTAAGACGAACTCAACTAGTCACGCAAGTGAACTCTTCTTTGCTCTTGGTCTGCTACTGTCGGGTACCAGCCGGTCGATTCCTGCCCAGTGACCCAGTTGACAGTAGAACTGTCCTGGAGTGTTTCTGAGGCTGAAATGTCGGGGGAGCTGAACCCCATGGTCATTTCTCCGGCAGAATACTTGATGGCTTTGACCTTTCGGCCAGCACCTGGGCATGTAGGCCATCCTTAACAAATGTGCCGCCGGGGCTTCTGTTCTGCTCTGGTCCTTACAGTCCTGGCCGTAGAGCTGGTTCCAACTCTTAGCTCCCTTATGTACCACAGGGTGGAAGACGGCCCAGTCCTGCGCCAGCTGCACAGTTGTTACGTTTTAGCCCATTGTTGCAGCCTCTGTGTCCATGCATGTGGCTGAGTTATTTCCTTTGTTCCTGTTTACATGTGTGCTTCTTCTTGATTCAGTTCTTATATAGTAGGGTCCCGTCTTCTCCAAAGCCATTCAACCTGAAGGACTTCTTTTAACATTTCTTGTAGTGCTGTTCTGCTAGTAATAACCTGTTGGTTTTCTTCCATTTGAAAATGGCTTTGGTTTACCTCATTCTTGGCACTGCCTAGGAACCGCAGGTTGTTGGTGTGTTGAAGCAGACTTGGAGAACCTTGGAGTCACTTGATGCCTTTTGGAGTGACTACTCAGGGAATGGATTTCCCTGCCTTCTGTTTCATTTCTGAGTCCCTGTGGCAGGAAAATGCATTAGATGCCCAGCTTGGCCTTTCTGCTCCATCACAGTGGGTTTCCCCAAAATACTGCCATGCATTATGCTGACTGGAATGTAAGGCTCCAAGCATGCGCTGCATGTTCTAGTCACTCAGCATACATCATCTGACACTGCATCCGTCCACGTAGTCTCTATCACCAGGGCACACGTGGCCTGGAACAGTGGATTTTGGATTCACCAGAAGCTTTGTGTCTGACAAAGAGGTGACCCCTGAGTTCAGGGCTGGCCAGAAACTTCCAGCAGTGACAGAAAAAGGTCTCCATCTGTGTGCTCTACAGCAGTAGCCAGTGGCCCCCAACCACCTTGAGCATTTGCACCATTTCCAGCCTAAGGAATGTAAGTCTGGATTTGAATTAATTTCATTCAAATAGCCTCATTGCTCATGCGCCCCTTATTGGACCACCTCATTTTAATTGTTTGCCTCTTCAGATACTTCCAATATGAAATGTGACGTGCCTGAGCACTAATTACAATAGGTGAAAAACCATGCAAGTCCATCCATTAAAAATGGCCTCCCTCATTGTTGCCTCTCCAAGAGAATCTTCATTTTGGAGCAGGAACCTGCTTGAAATCCACTTCTGTTCCGCCCAGCTAGCAGTGCCGAGAGTGTGGTCTCCCTTTGGAATGGGCTAGCTGGAATTAAGGGGCGATGGGGCTGCTGGTGAGTCTGCAGAGACAGGACCTAAACAGACGGGCCTGGCTGTCCTGTGCATGAGCACGCAAGCAGCGCTCTGGGTCTTCTGTCTCCTCAGCAATAGAAGTAAAAGGTAGTTATCCTGTTAAAATGCCCATCTGGTCCTTGGAGCCTTTATTACCTTGGCCTAATATAAGTCCAATAGCTTTGTTTGACAGGCTGGGGGCTTTTGACAGACCACACTGTGTTGTTCTGACTGAACTTTGAACTTGGGAGATGACCAACAGTCTGTTTACATAATAATTAAATGCTGTACTTGTTGAGATTTCGCTTGTTAATTTCAATCTTAACAAAGGTTAATATTCTTTTCTTTTTTTGTAAGACTGTTTTATTGGGGGCATATTTGTACATATGTTGACATCATCATTTTCTGAACATTTTCTTTCTATTTTGAGCCCTTGGTATCAGTTCCTCTTTTTTTTCCCTCCCTCCCCACCTCCCACCCTTGTGACCCCTTGATAAATATAAATTATTATTATTTTCATATCTTACACCAACCGCTGTCTCCCTTCACCCACGTTTCTGTTGTTTGTCCCCCTAGTGGGTGGGGAGGTATGTGTCCATCATTGCAGTTGGTTCCCCATTCCTCCCCTCTTCCCCCTATACTCCTGGTATCACTCTTCCCATGTCTGCTCCTGAGGGCTTTCTATGACCTGGATTCTGTGTGACTTGAGCTCTTATCTGTACCAGTGTACATGCTCCGGTCTAGCCCGCAGTGAAAGGCAGGACTGGAGTCATTGCGTGTACACCCCTACGTCATCCCTGCCTATTGCTTGTACGCCTATGTACAACCCCTTCCTAGGACATAGGCCGTTATCTGTAATCAGGAGGCTCGCGTGTCCCAAAGATATATAAGCTTTGGTTAGAAATAAAACCTCACGAAAGCTCAACAACAACAAAAAATGGGTGAGGAAGTCTCAAAGCACCAGAGGAATATCGTGTGTTTCATCAGTGCTATACTGCGCCCTGGTTGACTCATCCCTTCCTTGTGACCCTTCTGTGAGGGGATGTTCTGTTGTCTATAGATGCACTTTGGGACTCTGCTCTGACCCCCCTCATTCTCAACAATATATTTTTTGTTTTGTTTTGGGTCTTCTGATAAAATGTTAAACTATCAATAATTATTTCCATGATTATTAAGATTTTTGCCAACACATTACAAAACCAGAATAATCGGAAAAATATAAAATGCCCTCTCTCACTATAGTGGAATTCCTTATTTAATTTTCATTGTTACAAAATTCTATAGGAGAATTTTTCGTAGAAAAAAATCCAAGTGTTTGGAAAATTTCAACTTTTATCACTTTGCATTATCCCAAGGGTTGTAGCGCTCATCAAACTGACCCTGCCTCCTCCAATATCCGTATATCTACTTTTCACGGCTTACTTATTCACATAGTTGTTGATTATTTAAGCAAACCTCGCACCTTGTTAGGGAAATTCAGTATGAAAAGTGTGAGCGTCAGTGGGCGCCTGGAAGCAGGTGTTTCTAATGGAAGCCCACACTCCTGGGCTTTGGTGCTCTTTCAGACCATGCGACTGATGTCACGAGTACGCCTGCGGGGGGGCAAGGCCGGGGGCGGGGCGAGAACACACAGGACCACCTTCTTGTCCCTGGAATGGTCTGTCCTGAAGGGAGGAATCAATTCAAGCTGCTTAATGGGGAATCCGCTTCACTTGTAAAGTCAAACCGGATTCCTGATGGGGAACATTAGCACCGGCAGAGGGACTGGCGGACCAGGTCACTAGGAGGGAACACAGATTTAATCCTGCACATCCTAAAGATCTGCTGGTTTAGTAGATCATTACCTGCGGCGGGTATTTTTATCTTACATCTGTGCTTTAGATCAGAGTATGAATTGAATTAAAGATAGTGGAGAAATATGTTTACCTTTTTAAATCGCTTAAGGAGACAACTTAACATTTTTCCATCATTTTTTGCCTGGCTAGCCATGTGACATTTGCCAACAGGAGCTAACTTAATTTGCTGCTCTTCAATCAGAAGTTTTTAGCTGGACTTGGAGAGCAAGATTACTCTCCAACTTTCCAAACCCGTTTAAAGCAGCTCAGCATTGGCTTTTACCAAGACCTCAACTTTTCCAGGGCAGCATTTCACTCACATTAGTCGTCGTAAGCAGTACTGTTTTTTTGGAGATAAACTGGTGATCCAAATAAAAAGCAATCTCAATTTAAACAACCAAAACCAAATTAGTTACCATTGTAGCCAACAGACATTAGAACTTAAAAGGGATAATGGAATACACAACAGTAATTTTTGTTCGTTTTAAGTTAAAAAAAAATGATAAACTTAAAAAATGTTAACGGTCCTATGAATTTAGTTTTTAGAAAGGGACTGAGGGCTTATTCTGGTGATGTGGTGGTATAATACCTACAGAAGTGAGTGTTAGCACCTGCAAGTGGCCTCCCCTGTACATCTCGCATGCTTAATTCAGGAAATACGTGGGGCCAGCCGATCTCCTCCAATGGCTTATTCCAAAAAACCCCACGTATAGAATGGATAGAATTGAAATGCAACTCAGTCAAACTAAGCTTTTATTTGTACAATTAATTCACTCTCCAGATTTTAATTTATTTGGGTCTTTTAAATGCCTCATTGGATTGTGCGGAGAAAAATTATCAGGAGTGGGCTAAAGTTCAGACCTAAGCAAGATTTGTTACATTAATATATCATTTCATGGATTTATGACTTAGTCTTGGTACATGAAGGCGCCCACTGGCCCAGCTGGTCTAAATGTCTCCGGTTGAGCTGTGTGGACCATGAGCTGTTTCTCTTCCGTCTCACTTCCGTGCCACCATGTTCCAAGGAAAATGCAAACCTACAAGATTTTTCCTGAAGTGAAATGTGGAATTCTGTTGTAGGAATGGCTCCATATTCTAGAGCTTTCTTAAAGGTGGATCATTAACTAACAGTCTTTTGCTTGTGGCACATATTTGAAAGAGGTTGTTGCCACCAAGTATCCCATTGCTACGAAAGTCTAACTCAATCTAGAGCATGAAAGAAGTGCATCTTATGCTGACTAAGGCTCTGAAGATTCACTGATCTCTCATTTTTCTCTGAAGCACCTCTATAAAAGCCCAAGCTTTTCAGTTTCCAGTTCACAGGTTAAGAGTGTGTGTGTGTGTGTTTTTGTGTGTGTGTCCCTATTAGAAAATATACTCCCTGAAGATTCAGACTCTGTCGTGTACACACACACACACACACACACACACACACACACACACACACCATTCCTGGGGTCCCCGGCAGGACCTGCACCTCCAAGGTTGTTGAATGCTTGCATCAACAGATGAACGACATGCATTTCTCCCTACAAGTAGAAATTGGCACGGGATGCGGAAATTGTGGCAACTTCACATGCAGACCTGTGCTGCATCGTTGACGGTGGCTACCTGTAGCTTTTTCTTTGCTGGAGTACCACTCTGCTCTGTGCCACTTTCATCACTCTGTGACTTGGAAACACGCTTGGACTTCATGAACCCAGCAACCTTGGTTTGTGTCCACATTTCTCCCCAGGACGGACTACGCCCTTCTCGCACACTTCCAGCTGTACTTCTGAGTGTCGTGGTCAGGTGGTACGGCCAGGTCACGTATTCCGAAGGAGTCGGCCTTTGGTGTGGGAGACAACTAGCTCTGAACTGAACATGTTTCGTTGTACTGAATAGCGTTGCCAAGACTTCTTATCGTAGTACGTTGCTGTCTGGCCACATCAGCGGCAGCCCTTTCACGACTATGAACCAGCTGGACAAGAAAATCAGCTTTCTTTCTTCACTGGTGTCTCTTGAGCAGGAATGGCGTTCATTGTACCGAGTCACGCTGAACAGGTAGACGTCAGAGCCACTCGCCGCCTGTCACATCAAACAGTCACTTCCAAATTTGCATGCCAGGTTCCCGTTTGGGACCAGGTTTCAAACACCCAGTGACCAGCACCTGATGTGTCTCTTCTTGCTGTGACAGCCCGCTGAGAAGGGAAGCCCACTGGGCGGTGTTTGTTCCCAGAGCAGTCATCTGGGAAACACCAGACAACTTTGAAGCTGTCCGGGAGCTCCCCTGCTCAGCCACTGGGGGTGCTGGTGCCGCGACGGGGTTCAGCTCACGAGAACACACTGCAAATGCAGCAAGGGGCCAGTGAAGTGGCTTCAGAGGAAATAGAGCACATCTTCAAGGAACTCAAACCTTGAATATTTTCACGACTGTTTTTTAAAAAGCCCTTTAAATGTCTTTGTTGCTAAGTTCCTTCAGACTTAGATGCAGCAGAGGAAGTGACTGACCCGAGTCTTACACAGACACCAGCAGCTGGCATTTATACCTGGTCCAGTTGGTGATGGTTTGACTTTAGAGAGTTTATTAACTTGCCCAGAAAAAAGTTACTTTCCTTTTAAATTGTACAGCTAATCTCCCTTTATCAGATACCAAAATGACGGTTCATGAGGTTGGTTTTGTTTTATAGGCCTGAAGATTACAGGCTGTAAGAGGACCACGACTGCCAAGAACAGAGAAGAAACGGTTGGAGCATCTTCTGAAGGAGTTTCTCCAAACCTGCAGGACCAAGTGACACAAAGGCTGCGTTTGACAGGTGACCTGTGACTTGTTGACAGTTGTGGGACAGGTCAGGCAGAGAGACTCCTTCAGCAGGAAATTGCAGTGAAATAAGATTACTTTATAAAGTTATTTCCTTATACCGCCTGGTTGGCACCTCTTAAGTGATCACAATAAAATTGCTGACTGGCTTGATTATTCCGTGTGGCCTCCGCAAAACAACGCTCATTGCAGTTGCAAGTCCCGTCGATGTAGATTGTCTCATGTCCAGCTTCACTGTCCTTGTCCCCTGGGCCAACAGCCCACTGTCACTTCACCTTTCGGTGACTGAGGCATGTAACCTCCCACCTCCTTTCCACCTTAGTCAGGGACTGCTTGCCCAAAGGCATTTTACAAACCTCGGTCACCTTTCTCGGTGTCCAGTACATCCTCTTCGGTCTCCTGTACACAGTGAAGTAACAAGAATGCTGGTCTAGCCCCTAAGAAATCCAAGCTGCTGGTTAGCATCCCCATGATCTATGTTTTCCCAGGCACTGACAGGCACCCGCCCAAGGCAGCCTGAGAAGCACTATGTCACTCAATCCCATATGGACCCACACAAACAGCTTCCTTAGGAGAGGGGGCAGTTCACAAAGCTAGATGTCTAGCTTAAGCCAGTTCAGAGGAAGGAGCAAAAGGACGATAAGCCATAACCATCCACCCGTGACGACCCAAGGCCTTCAACACCATCTGCCTCCTGGTCCCCATTAGCTCAAAAGCCATGATCCTTCAGTACAAACACCCCCCACCAAGTACATTTCATGGCTTGTCACAGTAAGGTTCTCTTTACTTAATATGCTTAAAGGACTAGGAATTCATAATAAAGTGATGGTAGCTTAGAAAAAGACAAGGCCCCTGTTGAGTTTTCTGCCTCAACTATTTTCCCCATTAACCCACGTATTTTGGGAGTATAGAATTCCATTACACAAGGATGGTTTTTAGGAAGGTGTGTGCCACGTTACAGAAGAGATGTATGCCACCCACTAGCATGGGTTCAGCCTGGCTCCTCCCAAGTGCTGGCACAGGCCCTGGCTCCCAGCCCCAGCAGAGCAGCTGCACAGGAGATACTGTGCAGCACATCTGGTGGCATCCCCTCAAACCCAGGTTGGAGTAGACAGCACTGCTTGCAGGGGCATCAGCACACCAGCGCCTGCTCTGGGCTCCAGCCCACAGAACCCTGGTCAGGACCTCACCGCAGCCAGGCCACAGGCATGCTAGGTTCCAAAGCAGATCCATCCACGCCGCCTCTGCCCACACTGCCGCCCTTTCCTGTCTTCATGCCTGCCCCAGTTGATCCAGATGAGTGATGGCGCCTTCTTCAGTTGGCGCTTACAAGACTTAAACCCTAAGGGGTGGGATTGATACCCACCTTCTCTTTGTTTAGACCAGTGGTTCTCAACCTTCCTCATGCCACGACCTTTTGATACAGTTCCTCATGTGGTGAAGCCCCGGCCAAAAAATTATTTTCGTGCTACTTCATAACTCATTTTGTTACTGTTATGAATCGTAATGTAAGTATCTGATATGCAGGATGTATTTTCATTGTTACAAATTGAACATAATTGAAGAGTAATCAAAAACAATATGTAATTCTATGTTGTGAAATATTTATTTCTAATGACAAATAAATGAAATTTTGTCTTGAAGCATGGTGTAGCATAGGTAACAGTCTTCACACTGGGTACTCGTATGTGGGCGTATCTGCATGTGGGCAGACCCAGAAACCCTGGTGAAAGGGTTGCTCGACCGTGGAAGTGGTTGCAACCCACAGGTTGAGAACCACTGGTTCAGACAAACCAAGTCGTGCTGACCCAGAGACTTGAGTTGGTGGCAAGGAAGGCATACTGCTGCCTTGACAAGTGAGGGGAGTTTGTTTTACCTGTAAGACCTGACCCAGCTTAAACCATCCCCCAACCCAGTGCCACCCACTCCATTCCAGCTCACAGCGACCCGGCAGGACAGGAGAACTGGCCCATGGGGATTCCCAGCCCGTAGACCTTCAACTCTACTTTCTCAAGCCAAGCTGCATTGCAACAGCTAGCGGACCTTGTGTTACCAGCCAAGCATGTTCACCACTGCGCTCCCACAGCTCTCATCTAAATAGAGCAAGCTTGTTTTAATCTCGGGCTGAGTATGCAGTTTTCTATTAGATTCACCCAAATTCCCACCCTGGTGGGTCTAACCATTCACTATGCACGCCTGCGGTCCCGCTTCCGTGCTGCAGTTCACTGCCTTGCTCTCCCACTACTCCCGCCTTCTCCTGGGCCAGGATCAACATTTGAGGTCCAGGTCTCTCCTGGCTACGAGTTGCCCTGTGGAACAGGTAGCAAGGTCTGAGTCTGAAAAGCCCAGAAGCCCAAGAGGCCGCCTGCTGCCAGGGGCCACGGCACAGAGTCTGAATTGGAGAGAACCCAATTTAAGAATGCATGAGCTTTCCAAGACAGACATGAAGGCTCTGTTTCAACGTAAACATAGGTTCCTGCAGAGAAAATGCAATTTCTCCCAGTCTGCCAAGAAAAACCCCCGAAATCTACATGAAGAGAATTGAGTAGTTTTGCAGCAACGCTACTGCTCGGGGCTTCACCTTGGAAGGATGTAAATCTGGTCTGTCTTGGCTACCGGTAAGACACATGGTACCTGAAGGCCAGCTTTTATTAGCTTGGCTGCCAAGAAGGCTTAGGATATATTTTCCACACAAAGACAGCATAGCAGCACCTCCGAAAGAGACACCCGTTTGTATCAGTGCCATCTGGTCCACGGGAGATGCTTTGATTTCAAACAAACCTGTATTTCAATACCTGAATTCGGCCTCCGCTGCCCTCACTCCTCAATTCCAAAGTTAATATCTAGTAAAACCTTGCAAACAGTGGCTGCTAGAAAGCTGTGCTGTTTCGGGCAGGACACCTGTGCTTTGCAGGGGGATGTTCCTGAGCTCCGGTTCCTCAACCTTTTGATGACATTGCTTAGAATCAACACTTGAAAATCCTGGTGCCACCTGGCCCCTTCGGGGCTCGCAAGACTGAAAGGGGCCGGAATAAGTAGAGGGAATTTGGACCATAAAATAACTCTTTTAGTCTTTGGCAAATCTGCAAAGTTCAAATAAAATATTTTTATAACTTGTCAGAAGAACTCTATTCTTAGTCAACTATGTTAACTTGCTCCATGCAGAGGCAGTGGATCTTGGAGAACTGAATTTGGGTACTCTTTGTCAAATTTGATCTAGGAAATTCTAAAACTTGGAAGCAGTGTCTCCAGTTGACACCCACCAAGAGTCAGCTTCGATATTTCACTTATTCATTCATTCAACCACTATTTAAGTCCTAGAAATTACTCGAGGGGTTGCAATTTTATGCCTGAATAAAATGAGGTTTCCTGGAATCACAGGGCCTGCGTCCTGGTGAGGGGAGAGAGGCGGCACTACTCAGGTGCAGCAGCCCTGAGAAGGTCCCTCTAGACTGGCTTCTCCTTCCCCGTCTCTCCCTACTCTCTCACTACTGCTTCCTTGGATTACCTCCCAAATGAACTACCTGCACCCCTGCCTGCTTCATGGTCTACTTTCAGGACTACTCAAGTGCACGCATGCTTTAGGCCATCCTCATGTTGAAGCCAAGGAGCTATTTCTAACGGAGGTGCCATCCTGGCACTCCCAAACCAAACTACAGTGCGTCTCCATCCAAACCTGTTGCTGTCAAGTCAATTTCAATTTAGCCCCAAAGTCACACTCCTGTAAGGAAAGGCTCTAAGATTTTTTCCCATCTCACCTTTCCAGCCTCATTGTCATCCACTCCTGGTTTTGGACTTGACATCCCAACTTGCCAAGCCCACTGCTTTGAGTGTTTCTATCTCTCAGTGACCTCCTAGGACAGAGGAAAACTGCTCCTTAAGGTTTCTGAGACAGTAAAGGGAGCAGACTCTACCAGCGCAGACAGCCTCATCTTTCTCCTGTGAAGCAGCAGGCAGTTAGCAACCCAACACTTCACCCACTGAGTCACCCAGGCGCCTGATTTACATCTGCAGCATTCATTGTTCTGCAACAACCCTGCCCTCTTGCCTTGTTCCTGCATAGAGCATCTCCCTCCAGCTCTCCTGTCCCAACCCCTTTTTCTCGAACATCTCAGTTCTTTCCCATACACACGTTGGTACTTGTTTCTTTCTTGTTGAGGAAATGCTGTGGATGGCATGTCTGACCTCCTATGGCCTCACAAGGCAGAAAGAGAATCCAATTCCACATCTGCCCAAGCATGATCCCTATGAAGCGGAAGTCTGCTATTATTCACCTTTTAATTTTCTCCACCTTTTCTCTACACCGTCTCTCCCAAGATGCTCTACTTCTCTGCTGAGTTTGATAATCTGTTGCAATGATCACACAGAACCCACAGATAGTATGCATGATTATGAGTTTATTAGGGAAGTTAACTGACTACAAGTCAAGATCAGAAAGGCAAGGATACAGTTCTTTTGTCCAAAGTGTCTCTTATCAGTCATGCCTGCAGGCACATCTCTCTGGTCTTCAGACTATCAAATGTTACAAAGTACCTTTAGTGTTCCATGAGCCAAGAAAGCCACTCCTCTGCTCTGTGATGTGCTCGGGCTACGTCAGTGTCTCTCCATGCAGAGAATGTCGAATGTTCTCTGCTGGTGACTTCTTTCCTGATGGTGATGGGATTCTTCTTTCCTGCTTCTAGGATGACCCACTTTACATCCAGAAGAATAGCAGGATGGACCAAACCCTTCATATTATCCTATTTGTATGCTCCCACCCAATCACTTCGTAGGAATTAAAAAGACTATGGATAGAAGAGTCATACCAAATAATTCAACCATGCCCCATCTGCCATGTCTCTTCCCTGCATATGCATCCATTATAACCATTCTCTTATAAACCTCTTGTTCTGTTGAGCTTGTTGAGGACAGAGGACGTCTTTTCTTTTGTGTATCCCCACCCCCTAGGAAGTGCCTGGCATCTAAAATAGTGTCTAGAATATCTCACTCACTGCCTGTCACCGAGTCAGCTCTGATGTATGCTGACTGAGAACTACCCCTTTGGGTTTTCAATACTGTAACTGTTTCTCCTGTGGATCAGCTGGGGGGTTCACTCTGCTGACCTTGCAGTAGAGCAGAGCAATATATAACCACATCACCATCAGGGCTACTGTCTA